TTCAGCTGTATTGAATGTCAGAAAAATACTTACTGCACTGGAGGGTATACAGTTGTCGGGGTCCTCTTCCGGTCCAATGGCACTGTTGGCTTTGGACGTGGAGAAGGCCTGCGACAACGTTAACTGGTCATGGCTCTCAAAGGTTATGGAGCGTTTTGGATTCTAGGGGTTGTCTTTGAAGTACATTTCCACTATGTATAGCTCCTCTTCTGCGCAGATATACACCTCTTCGGCCCTATCCACATTCTTTCGCTTGTACAAGGGAACCCGCCAGGGCTGTCCTCTCTCCCCACTATTATTTAATTTAGCTATAGAACCCCTGTCCGATCCTTGGCTTCCCCTCACATTTTTACTGGCTACCAATCTGGCCCCATACGACACTAAATTAGCGTTATTTGCAGACGATATCCTACTACTCCTTTCTGACGCGCTGACCCAAATCTCGAAAATCCTTGACCACATTAAACATTATGGCTCATTCTCTGGTCTTAGAATCAATGTTAACAAAAGTGAGCTTCTTCCTCTTACCTTGGATAAAAAGTTTGTAGCAGCCCTTTCCCGCACATACCCAACCCTGCTAATACAGCCACGCTGCATCACCTATCTAGGAGTCTCCATTCCCCGTTCTGACAGGGACTTGTATGCATTAAACTACAAACCGATTATATCTAAAATAGTCCAAGAATTACGTACGTGGAGGGACTATCCTATCTCCCTTCTGGGCAGATGTCACCTTATAAAAATGGTTAGCTTTGCCAGATTACTCTACCCCCTTCAGACTATACCCCTATTGCTGAAGCACAAAGATATCCAAACCCTTCAGGGTGCCTTTTCGGGGTTTCTCTGGAGTGGGAAAAGGACGAGAATAGCCTTCAAAAAACTCCAAAAAACAGTGAGCCAGCTGGGTGCTAATTTACCGAACATCAGGGCATATAATCTGGCCAGTCTGTTCCACCATATACGGAATTGGATACATGACACCACGTTTTTTTACCAACACCCCACTGGAGTCCCATTTGATGAAACCTTGGTCACCAGCGGGAATCCTGAATTCTCCACTGAGGCTTCTCCCCAAGTACATTAGGGACAACGTCCTCTTAAGGGACACAGTGATAGCATGGAGAGAGATCAGGAAAATCTACAGTTTATCCACGGTGATCTCCCCGTCGATGCCCCTCAGATCCTCACCGGGGTATGCCCCTGGCATTGCCTCTCAGGCCTTCCGCACATGGGAGGTGAAGGGTATCGGGGTCATGGTGGATGTATTCACTTCCCAAGGGCATCTCAAGACATTTCAGGACCTCCGCACCCAATACCACCTCCCGTCCACCCATGGGTACCCATATATGCAACTAAGCCATTTTATATCCAGCCACCTCACTCTGCCTTGGCGAGAAATGATTTGCCCACCACTTGACCTCTTGCTCTCCTCCCCCCAGGTAAAGATGCCCTTGTCCCTTATCGCCCGCCAGGTAATGACCTCTATTCTGGAATCCTCCTCCTCCGTTCCATCCCATATTAGACGCTGGGCAGAATATTTGAATATGTCCACGGAAGACACACTCTTGATGGTGATGCAGGGTTGGCAACAAATCAGGAAAGCTATAATAAACAAAGCCTGGCGCGAGATATACTTCAAAACTGTCCATAGGGCATATCACGCCTTTAATATTCCGGCCAGGAACACCTTCTCCAAATGGTTGACGGCTTGCCCAAAATGTTTTCTCCCCCTACCTGACCTTCTCATACAATCCTTTTGGTCCACAATGTTAAATTTCATGAACTCTCACTCCCGCAAGACGAGAACGCTGTCCCCTGCCTTCTGCCTACTACACGCCCCTCCCTTGCACACAGGGGCTACTCCCTCCCACCCGACCGCTGGGAGCATCTTTGCCTACTGACAGCAAAAAAGGCGATTCTGTGCAACTGGATCGTACCTGAACCCACATCCATGGCCACCTTCCGCCCCCTGCTCAATCGCCTGTTACTACTGGATAAACTAGATACGAAATGTAACCAATTGCGCACTAAAAACTTCTTCGACACTTGGACATCTTATGTTACAGCGGAATATTCACTGCAGCAATTGCAGGATTTGATGTCCATTTTTCGATTTTCTAAATGGTATCTGGAGGCCCAACTGACTGGCAACCTGGGTTCACTAGATGTCCTCAGTCCCTAACATCCCCTAACTTATGTTCTACAGTTCTCACCTACCGTACATATGGAGGCTAGACCCTCCTGATATGCCCACGAGTTCCCACGCCATAGAGATATGGTCCCCTACTCACAGTCCTGACCTTCACAGCCTTAGGGTTAACTGGTTGTAGTTATTTAAGTATTCACACCCGCAATACAGAGTCGCTCAAATGTGTTTCACCATATTGTTATTTGGGTTCCTCTTTAGTATTGCTTGAATGTATTCGTTAAGCATGTCTGGATCGCAGTCTGCGTACTGGTGCACGATCCATATTTCATGTCACTTTGGATTAAGTATGTATTGCTTTTTATTTCTGTTCAATAAAAATTTTACATGCTAAAAAAAACACCCATGTACACACAAGCATGCACACCAGAGGGCATCCCCACACTTTGTCCTCCTCTTGCTCCAGGTCCAACCTGTCCCCCGCTTTATGCAGCCAATACAGACAGTGTCCCCTGTGACATCATTCACAGGCTCCTCCTCCAGTACTCCCCTTGCAGCGCAGCAACTGGCATCTTGTATTATCCGGCTGCGTGACTCACAAGATTAAGTCATTCACGCAGTTTAGCAGGCCATAGATTACATTAATTCCAGTAATGATCCCCAACTAGATCTAAATTCCAGTATTGCCGGGTAATTTCCAGTAAGTTTCCCAGCTATGCACAAATGCCCATTAGCTCACATGTACAGTATACAATTAACAAACCCACAACATCTCATGCTGCAGCACCAGATTAGTTAGATTAACCCCATCAGGGTATCGATAACCTGTGCAAGCTCCAGCTATCTACCGTAATATCACGTATTTTATGTTGACACCCAAAAACATGCCAACCTACCTAGGAATCCTGTCCGCTCTCTGGTTCTTTGACTACTCTCACATACTGGGGCACACGTTACCTGGGAGGAGGTGGTACCCAGTTTGCCCCCTACTGGGGAGTCAGGTAGAACGTACGTAAATGAAGATACTACCTACTGGGTACTAGTGAAGTCAATGAGCCCAGTACATATTTTAACTGGACACAAGGATAAACCCTCACAAAGCACTCCATTGTCTCAAATGATGAAGGGCATATGAACATGTATTTCTTTTAATAAAAAAGTAAAATAATAAAAAACAGGATCAGTAACATGAGCAAAGGGTGCCTAAAGAGAATATTTGTTTTTTCATGGTAAAATGCAATGATTGCCTGCTTTAGTCTATCATATGTGCAAAATAAAGCCTTTCAGCAAATGTCGACATTCCTTGGGTTATAAATAAGTTGATTAATACAGTAAGCACCATTGATTTTTGAAGAATACATGCTGGTGAATGTTGCTTGTTCCGACATATCTACAGGTAATGTCCAAACATCCAGAGACTTAATCCTCCTGTCCCATCGCACTCCTGACCGGACAAAAACCCAAATCCAACTAGGTGGGTGCGGTAGTGACAACTGACGCCTCCGTGAAATGTAGATAGATGAAAGTAGTCACTCGCACTCCATGATATTAAAGTCACTGCTGTTTATTGACTGAGATAACACACATCTCCTTAGCTAAAGGACGGAAAGGCTGCCGTCCTTAAAGCCACTAAGAAGTATCCTCACACGACACGTAAAACAAATGAAGCAGACAGTGCCTTCTCCTAGCGTAATAATGTTTAATAAACAGAGTAATAAAAAATGGCATGAAAAACTACTCACATATTGGTATAAGTAATGAGCAATAAGATGCAAAGCAGGTCCCAGAGAAGACGAACTAGCTGACATGTTTCGGGGGGGATTCCCCTTTCCTCATGCCATTTTTTAATTACTCTATTTAATAAATGTTATTACACCAAGAGAAGACACTATCTGCTTTATCTGTTTTACATATCTACAGGTACATTAATGTGCTTTATAAATGCAATGAATAATTTGGCAGTGAATATGCAGCAAATGTTTTTACAGATACTCCCCTGCATTTCATGCAATGGAGCATTGTGGTGCAATTTATTTTGAATGGCACCCACTGCACTTTCTCAGTACACTTACGTTGCAGCGGAGCACAAGGCAATCAGGTGCACTGCAATGAATGATGTGATCCAACACAATGCAGCGGCCATGTGAATGGGCCCTCAGAACCCTAGTCCTCTTCTAGGTCCTTGAGTGGGAAAAAGCCTCCAATCCTACATCCACATCTTACCTGAAAGCCAGAACTCATTATTATTCTCAGTTGTCCACAGGCCTTTATATATGTAAGCTGACTGATGATCAGGACTCTCCCTTTCGCTGTCCCTGCTGAGGGAGCCTGCTGCTGTGTGAAAAGGCTGACTGCTGACATAATACTAAAAAGGAACACATGCTGTCCGTTTTGGGAAACACTTAAAGGATAATTATGAGGTGAGTGATTTTCATTTTGTCATTAACATACATAAAATACAGAAATGATAAGAAAACAGAGTTCAAGTTTGTAACAGCTATTATTTCTCAAGGTTTATCTATGTACTTCTAAACATGTATCAAGCCACACATCTTTATGATAGTCTAATGACATCTGAATCATAAATAATTTCACATATTTAAAAATAAGATTTTGAGCTGCAGGTTTTTTCTAAGTTCAATACCTAGTGGAACATTTTTTGTTGCCACATAAATCAGCAATTACATAGTTACAGAGTATTTGAGGTTGAATAAAGACACATTCCCATCAAGTTCAACCTATTGAATTGCGTGTAATAAATTGAAATCAAATCTTTCATGCGATAAGTATAACATGCAGTTGCATAGAACTTTATATGGTCCCTCAAGAATACACAAGAAGAGGGAATACTTGCCTTTGCCTGGATCTCTCCCTGGAATGGGACCTCTCCCGGGAGGCGGAACCAGACCGGACCTCTGTGTGTGGCACAAACTCCCGGCTCCATCTTCTAGTGCTTGGCCTGACAGTCATTACACAGACAGAGGCAGATAAAATGTTCTAGCCTAAGAAACACCAATGAAAGATTGACATTATGTAAGGACTTTGATTTTTGGAAAAAAAAAGTGGTAAAAAAGGTAATTTAATGTTTGTAGCATCTTATTGGTAGGAATAAAAAAAAGCTGACACAGCACTTGTTATTTCTTCTCACAACTCGACATTCATAACTAATTAACCCTTATTTAATTATATGGAGTGCTAGTGAGGGCAGTGACAGCTGTAATATATATATTAGAGGTATTTATATTTATTACAGCTATTTTTATAGCACCAACAATTTATGCATTGCTTTACATACCAGGCATTCACATCAGTCCTTGCCCTCAAGGAGCTTACAATCTAAGGTACCTATCTCACATGCGTAGAGGGCCAATTTAAACAGGAGCCGATTAACCAAACAGCATGTGTTTAGAGTGTGGGAGGAAACCAGAGTACCTGGAGGAAACCCACGCAAGCACAGGGAGAACATGCAAATATTCATATACAGTATGTCCAGTCATGTTAAATGCAAAACCTTCAGCCATTTCATGTAACTGTAATCATCTCTTATTCATAATTCATAACTCCTCCAGCAATATCATCAAATTCTGTTCCTGGAAATGAGATGTCACATTTTGCTGAAAGCAGAGAACATTATGCTTTTAGGTAAAGATTGTAAACGTCAGCCATGAAATCTATTAGAACACAGATAAAAAATCATATAGTATGTTACTGTGGTCCTTAAAGTAATAAAGAAAGAAGGACACTCACCCTTTAATCAGCAGCAGTACAACCCCATAGCAGCATCTGTCACTGAATCATGATGAACTTTTCCTTCAGTCTTGATCAATCCAAGCTTGCTGTAAGCTCAGAGAACCTGTCTCATCAAAGCTTTTCTGATATGATCCAACTAGCTTCCCTATATCGTTCTGCACTTCTTCCTTCCTTCCTTCCTTCCTTCCTGGCACTTCATACTCCCTATGGCCCCATCTCTCCCGCTGGCAGATACACAGTGTTGGCACTGCTTCAGGCACAGTACCCTGTGATACACACAGAATGAAGATTGTGTAGGCAATGTAAAAAAAGTAAAAAAACAAAAATGTAAGTTACAAATACAATTTCTCATTCAAATTTATAGCACTTGATAAACTCAGTATATATTATGGATATTTGTGGTACAGGGGCACTTTAGATCCGAGACGTCCATATTTCTGCCACACTAGCTACCTGGTCATAATAGGAGAGGATTATGGGTGAGAATGCAGAAATAGCTAACTTTGAAGACTCAGCATATTTACCATCCTGGGTACTTATATACCTTACTATTTCCTCTTCTTACCAATTGGATTTACATCTCAAAATTGATAGTTTACATGCATGGACAGGATAGGATTTACCATCAGGCACAGTACGATGTGTGTACGCTGCAAAAGGCAAAGAGGAGGCTTTTCCTTGTGCAGTTAATGCCTACACATCTTCTCCATCATCAGTCATCTCATATAACACACTGTCACAATATTATGAACCAGATTAAGACCAGAAAAATGCTCAATATATAAAGTATTCACAGCAGAGGGCTGTGACTTTGGGTACAGGCTCGAGTGGTGGGATAGCCCTTCTATCTAGGTGCTATGTATCATGATCATTCACTGCTGCATTGGCTAAGTAGATTCAGGAATGAAGGGGGCTCTCTCACCCCTCTAGTGCTAGCCCTCATTTTTTTAAAAACTTGCCGTCTTGCCTCCATCTAGATTTGCCAGCCCAGGTACAGCTGCACTCCTTACACCTTCAGCAGTTTTGCATTGCAACTGAATATGAATGTATTTTCCACCAGCGATGTAGTTCATACAAATGTGGAAGTTTATCAATCCATCCCACTATGGAGCCCCACTCTACCTGTTGCTTTCTGTGTAATGCACAATAAGTTAAACTTTCAACAGAGAGTGTAATTGTGTAATTGTCACAATATTATTATTATTATACAGGATTTACAATAGCTGTGGACTTAGGAACGCTAGGGCAGAGACCTCAGCTTTGGAGATTATGAATATGATTCAACATGCTGGCACCTAGTCAAATGTAAAATATCAACAACTTACCCTTCAGAAGTAGACCCAAAGCAGTGTAGATGGATTGGATGTAAAAACAGGAGAATAAAATTACATTTTCTTTAGCATAGTCGAACATGCTCCCTTCCCAATCTTGTCCCTCTCTCCCGTTAAACACCAATAACATTATGACCACTGAGAGGTGAAGTAAATAACATGATATATCTTGTTACAATAGCAACTGGAAGTGGGTAAGATATATTAGGTAGCAACTGAACATTTTGTTGATATGTTGGAAGCAGAAAAGAATGGGCAAGCATAATGATGTGAGCGACTTTGACAAGGGCCAAATTGTGATGGCTACAAAACTGGGCCAGAGCAATGCCAAAACTGCAGCTCTTGTGAGATGTTCCCAGGCTGCAGTGGTCTGAAACCCACCAATAAGTTGTCCAAGGAAGGAAAAACAGTACACCTGCAACAATCTCATTGATGCACGTGGGGAGCAAGCCAGGCCTGTGTATTTCGATCTGTGAATATTAAATGTGTGATTTAAATGGGTGATGAGTGATTCTAAGTGTAAAAAATTGAATAAATATATATGTTGTCGTGTGAAAGGAGTTATACTATAAGAGGATGAGTGTATAAGAATCTATAAAATCTGGTTAAAACGAGTGAATTGATTACGTCTGACGTTCAATGATGCTAATCACTTGTTTAAACAGCCGAGGCTACAAGACAGTGTACAAAAAATCCTTATAACCACATCTACTGATAAGAGTGAATATAATCATGCATATATAAAAATATAAATATATGAAATATGTATAAAAAGGGGGGTTCTGAACAACAAGAATCTAATATCCTCCAAACGGCGTTGGAGATCCAGGGGATGAAAAAAGAAAGAAAAAAGAACTCAGAAGAAAAGAGGGGATGTGCTCCCTCTATATTCCAAAGTGCGTTTTAGGTGTAAAGAAATGGCATAAACCTCCTAATCCTGAGGCCACTTTGTATTACAGAGTCTATACATCAACAGTATCTTTATGTAGACCAAGTTCTACAAAGAAACAAGGGTCTTAGGATCAAAGGGCAAAGGAGTTCAAGAAGCAAAAATTATACGAATGATACCAAGTGTCTTTTACTTGTGGTTCCGTCGGTGAGTCCGCAGAGGGAAAACACACTTCTATGATAGTCTCTCTCCCCTCTCCTGCCGTCGGCCTGCACTTTCCTCTCAGCGGCGGTATTTGGACAGCCTCTAGTTGTGGATGGGAGACCCTCCGGAGAGATCAGCCAGGAAGACGGGGGGGAAGCAAACCATAGAAGAAAAGCAGAATTTAAGTGCAGATGCAAGATCCTTTATTTCAAAAGTATTAAATGATTGCACTTACAAAATTTCCGTTAGTAAACAGCATATGAAATCTGTGTGGAGGATATTCCCAGGGTGTCAGCGAGGAAACTAAGGACTCCCTTTACGCGTTTCGTCCTACAGACTTTTTCAAAAGTACCACACCAGCCCACATTTGATCACGTTGAGAGATATTGCTGCAGCTGGTTAATTTCTGTAGCACTAGATCCTAGCGCAACTACTCTGGTTAGAATCTGTACCTCCTCCCCGTCTCACGCTCGCCGTTGCCAGGCCTGCCCGCATCTACACGCCTTCTCCCCGCCTCACGCTCATAGGAGTTTGCATGTTCTCCCTTTGCTTGCGTGGGTTTCCTCCGGGTACTCCGGTTTCCTCCCACACTCCAAAGACATGCTGTTTGGTTTATTGGCTCCTCTCTAAATTGGCCCTGTGCATGTGAGATAGGGACCTTAGATTGTAAGCTCCTTGAGCGCAGGGACTGATGTGAATGTGCAACTATGTAAAGTGCTGCGTAAATTGTCCCGTAATAAATAAAATAGAAGAGCTACTGTAGCTCAAATTGCTGAACAAGTTAATGCTGGTTCCTATAGAAGGGTTTCTGAACACACAGTGAATTGCATCTTGTTGCGTATGGGGCTGCGTAGCCGCAGACCAGTCAGAGTACCCATGATGACCTGTACCCACCTCCAAAAGTGCCTACAATGGGCATGTGAGCATGAGAATTAGACCATGGGTCAATGGAAGAAGGTGGCCTGGTCTGATTAATCACGTTTTCTTTTACATCATGTGGATGGTCTGGTGCTTGTGCATTGCTTAACTGGGGAAGAGATGGCATCAGGTTGCACTATAGGAAGAAGGCAAGCTGGAGGAGACCTACATTGTTGCTGACCAAGTATACCCCTTCATGGAAACGGTATTCCCTGACGGCTGTGGCCTCTTTCAGCAGGATAATGTGCCCTACCACAGTGCATAAATGGTTCAAGAAAAACAACAACGAGTTTGAGGTGTTGACTTGGCCTCCACATTCTCCAGATCTCAATCCAATTGAGCATCTGTGGGATGTGCTGGAAATACAAGTTTATTCTAGGGAGCCCCCATCTCACAACTTACAGGACTTAAGGGATCTGCTACTGATGGCTACGTGCCAGATACCACAGCATAGCTTCAGAGGTCTAGTGGAGTCCATGTCTCGACGGGTCAGGGCTGTTTTGGTGGCAAAAGGGGAACCTACTTAATATTAGGCTGTTGGTCATAATGTTATAGCTGATTGGTGTGTGTATATATATATGTATATATATATATACACACACACTATATTGTCAAAAGTATTGGGACGCCTGCCTTTACACGCACATGAACTTTAATGGCATCCCAGTCTTAGTCCATAGGGTTCAATATTGAGTTGGCCCGCCCTCTGCAGCTATAACAGCTTTAACTCTTCTGGGAAGGCGTCCACAAGGTTAAGGAGTGTGTCTATGGGAATGTTTGAACATTCTTCCAGAAGCGCATCTGTGAGGTTAGGTAGTGATGTTGGACAAGAAGGCCTGGCTTGCAGTCTCTGCTCTAAATCATCCAAAAGGTGTTCTGTCGGGTTGAGGTCAGAAACTCGCGCATCCATGTCTTTATTACCTTGCTTTGTGCACTGGTGCGCAGTCCAAAATGTTGTAGCATGCTGATGCCTTAAGAGTTTCCTTCACTGGAACTAAGGGGCCAAGCCCCACCCCTGAAAAACAACCCCAGACCATAATCCCCCCTCCACCAAAATTTACACTTGGCACAATGCAGTCAGACAAGTACCGTTCTCCTGGAAACCGCCAAACCCAGGCACGTCTATCCTGATTGCCAGACAGAGAAGCGTGATTTGTCACTCCAGAGAACACGTCTCCACTTCTCTAGAGTCAAGTGGCGGCGTGCTTTACACCACTGCATCCCACGCTTTGCATTGCACTTGGTGATGTAAGGCTTGGATGCAGCTGCACGACCATGGAAACCCATTCCATGAAGCTCTCTGTGCACTGTTGTGCCAATCTGAAGGCCACACGAAGTTTGGAGGTCTGTAGCTATTGACTCTGCAGACAGTTGGCGACTTCTGCGCACTGTGCGCTTCAGCATGTGTTGACCCGCTCTGCCATTTTACGTTGCCTACCACTTTGTGGCTGAGTTGCTGTTGTTCCCAGTTGCTTCCAGTTTGTTATAATAGCACTAACAGTTGACCGTGGAATATTTAGTAGCATGGAAATTTCACAGATGGACTTATTGCACAGGTGGCAACCTATCACCGTACCACGCTTGAGTTCACTGAGCTCCTGAGAGCGACCCATTCTTTCACAAATGTTTGTAGAAGCGTCTGCATGCCTAGGTGCTTGATTGTATACACCTGTGGCCATGGAGGTGATTGGAACATCTGAATCCAATGATTTGGAGGGGTGTCCCAATACTTTTG